ATACCAACCGCAGAATGTACAATAGTAGTGTAACTTATTGAAGGAAGTTTAGAAGTGAAACTTCCGACAATATGGACAATTGAAAAGCAGAGGTGAGAAGAGTCAGAAGAGAAAAGATCAGAAGAAAGAAGATGCAGATGCGCGGAAAAGGTAGGAAAGTCGCGAAACACTGTGTTTCTCCAATGATTTGTGGCTCCGGAGGGTCGAAAAGTAGGCTCGCTAAAGCGGCGGGTGCGGAGCCAGCTGGCCACAGGAGCGATGAAAAATTGCACGCCGTTGTGGCGCGAAGCACATTTCCAAGTCAAAATGTACAAAGCACCAGGGGTTCGGACCACTTTTGGAAGTTGAGATGTCGAAAAAGTGCACGCCGTTGTGGCGCTAAGCAGATTTCCAAGTCAAAATGTACAAAACACCTCAGCTCCGGACCACTTTTGGAAGTTGAGATGTCGAAAAAGTGCACGCCGTTGTGGCGCGAAGCACATTTCCAAGTCAAAAGTGTTAAAAACTGACGGTCTCGGACCACTTTTGGAGGTTCCGATGTGGAAAAAGTGTCGAAAAAGTGCACGCCGTTGTGGCGCGAAGCACATTTCGAAGTCAAGAGTGTAAAAAACTGAGGGTTTTGAGCCTTTTTTGACGTGAAGATGTCAAAAAAGGAGACACTGATTAACTTAACTAACTTGACTAACTTAACTAACTTCACTAACTTAACTACCCTAACTTCGACGACAACAGCAACAGCAACAGCAACAGCAACAACAACAACAACAACACCAACAACAACACCAACCACAACAACTACAACTACAACTACAACAACTACAACTACAACAACTACAACAACTACAACAACTACAACAACTACACAGCTACACAACTACACAACAACTACAACTAGAACTACAACTAGAACTACAACAACAACAGCAACAACAACAACAACAGCAACAACAACAACAACAACTACTACTACAACAACAACAACTACTACTACTACTACACTACACAACAACTACAACCACACAACAACTACAGCTACAACTACAACAACAACTACAACTACAACAACTACAGCTACAACTACAAAGCAAGTACAGCTACAACTATATGACTGCAACTACACTACACTAATTACATTACACCACAGCTACAACTCCACTACGCTACAACTACAACTACAGTTGCAGGACATCACACTACATCCAGCAGTTGTGGGTGAGGTGACCACTGCAAGCATTGCAACCACTCCAGCAAACACAACTCCAACCACCTTTCGGTCAATCAGTGGATTCGCTCTGCCATCCGTGATTCACAACAACCAACGTCTCCTATAGGTTTCCTATTCTGAAACTTCCGCCACCGCCTTGTGCGGTACTACTGGTACCAAAAAATCAAAGGGCAGAAAAGCAATCCATCATCTAAAATTACGAAAGCCAGCTGTCAAGCATGGCGAAGTTAATCATTGCGAACGAAGTGAGAATAGGGGGTCTTGGGGGCGGTCGTCAAACGGACACATTTTATTAGGGTGGCCTCCGTGGTCGATTTTGCGGCTCATGTACCAGGTGGCAATTGGGTGACGGTGGGGTTCGATTCTCCCCTAATCCGTCCTCTGACGTGCATTTGGGGTGAGTGGAATGGAGGGTAAAAGGATGCAAAAATGGAGTCAAAGCAGAACAGAACAATGGAAAAACGTGGAAAAAGTAATGGAAGAAGGAGGGAATGGAAGGAAAAAACAAAGGAGACGGATTGGAGTTTTGGGGCGGGCTGTGCGATGGGTGGAAAGTTGGAGGGCCAAGAGGGTGGCTTGGGCGGGCTCTTTGGGGCGTGGGCCGGCAATGTGGAGTGAGGGGCTGCGTTGGGTGTGGGCGCGGGGAGCCCTTGGAGAGAAGGAAGGAATGTGTAGGAAGAAGGAGCGGAGGGAAGAAGTGTGGGAAAGGTCGGGAAGGATGAAGAGAGCGTAGGCGGAAGTGGAACGGGGGGCTCGTTTAAGGAGCGGACGGGGCGCAAAGGAACCCGGAAGGGGAGAGGACGCGTCGGCGGCAGGGAAGGCAAGGAAGAAGGGGAAGCGGGCGCCTGTGGAGAAAGAAGTTCCGTGGTGTGTTTGAGAAAGGAAGGGAAGGCGGGCGGGTGCTCCGTACTCGACACTTTAGAGTGTAGACTGGACATTATACAGTTCAGAGTCCACAGTCGACACTTGACAGATTAGACTGTACTACAACACTTTAGAGCCCTCACGCCTCACTGCACATTTGACACGCTGTACTCCGCACTTTACACTGCACACTCTACATTTGACACGCTACACTGGACACTCTACACTCTACACTCCAGACTCTACACTTGCCACTGTACACCCTTCACTTCACATTTTTCCCTCTACACGTTACACTCTACATTGCACACTTGACACACTTTACGCCTGACACACCACACACTGTACACTTGACACACTGCACTTTACACTTTACACTTTACACTCCACACTCGACGCTCGAAACTGTACACACTAGACTTTACACTCGACACTCTGCACTCTACACTCCATACCGTACACGTTGCACTGTACATTTTATATTCCTGTCCTACCGCCGGGCATCAGCACCCATCGGCAACTTCCCCCCCCCTCCCCGTCCCAGCGGGCCCCCTTGCTTCGGAGCAGCTACTTAAAAAGAGTATCACTCCAAATGGCCGCCCCAAGCCACTTCCTTTCTTCCCTCCAATCGAACCATATGCACCGCCAGCACTGTTTGCTGCTTGTACCAAGCATACCATGTCTATCCATGTCTCATGTCCTGCGCATAGCAACAAGCTCCTTATATGTTCGCTGAAGTTTCGTGATGATATCTGTGGACAATTTCTATCGTGAGATCATTGCGAGACATTGCGCTTGGGTGAGACTTCAAAGGCTAAAGTTGTATCGACAGCTTGCACCCTAACAACGGTTCACATGGCGACTTGAAAGACTTGCATGACAATTCGCACTTCACTCCCTGTACCCATTCGCTTTCTCCCCTCCAATGGTTCCCTTTTTCCCCACATCTTCTGCTCTGACTTCATTCCGACAAGCACCTTCACCTTGCCTGGCTTCCACACTTTACACTCCACGCTCCACACTTTACACTCTACACTGTACACTTTACAACCCAGCCTCCACACTCCACACTCCACACTTTACACACTAGACTTTACACTCTACGCTTTACACTCCACACCGCGCACTCTACACTTTACACACTCCACTTGACACTTTACCCTCTTCCCTCTACACACCATACTTTATACGTTACACGTTACACTCCTCACTCCTTACTGCACACTTGACACTCCACACTCCATACTTTACACCCCACACTCTACACTTTGCACTCTACACTTTACACTCTACACTCTACGCTTTACACACTACACTCTAAACTCTACACTTACACTCCACACTCTACACTTTAAACTTTACACTTGACACTCTACACTCCCACACCTTACACCCTTCACCCTGCGGGCTCCTTTGCTTGCCAACAGCTACCTAAAAGAGCCTTACTCCACATTGCCGGCCCACGCCCCAAAGAGCCCGCCCAAGCCACCCTCTTGGCCCTCCAACTTTCCACCCATCGTACACCCCGCCCCAAAACTCCAATCCGTCTCCTTTGTTTTTTCTTTCCATTCCCTCTCTTCTTCCATTACTCTTTCCACGTTTTTCCATTGTTCTGTTCTGCTTTGACTCCATTTTTGCATCCTTTTACCCTCCATCCCACTCACCCCAAATTCTCTCCTCCAATGGTTCCCTTTTTCCCCACATCTTCTGCTCTGACTGCATTCCGACAAGCACCTTCACCTTGCCTGGCTTCCACACTTTACACTCCACGCTCCACACTTTACACTCTGCACTGTACACTTTACAACCCAGCCTCCACACTCCACACTCCACACTTTACACACTAGACTTTACACTCTACGCTTTACACTTCACACCGCACAATCTACACTTTACACACTCCACTTGACACTTGACCCTCTTCCCTCTACACACCATACTTTATACGTTACACGTTACACTCCTCACTCCTTACTGCACACTTGACACTCCACACTCCATACTTTACACCCCACACTCTACACTTTGCACTCTACACTTTACACTCTACACTCTACGCTTTACACACTACACTCTAAACTCTACACTTACACTCCACACTCTGCACTTTAAACTTTACACTTGACACTCTACACTCCCACACCTTACACCCTTCACCCTGCGGGCTCCTTTGCTTCCCAACAGCTACCTAAAAGAGTCACCCCGCCGGCCCCTCCGCCCCTCCCCCGATGCCCCCACCAACCCCCCGCCGCACTCCCTCCCATGCTCTCCACTCTCATGTCCCCGTTCAAACTTGACCCTGGCTTTCGTCCCCTCGTCTCAGGTTTTTCAGAGCAAATTGTTTTGTTTTTTCCTCTTTTGTTTATACGTGTTGCAATTCCATGGAATCTTTTGTATCCGTGTTGGATTTGCGGCGTGCAAATTGTGAGCATTCCAAACAGCTATATACTTGTTGTGGCAACTAACGTTTTCCAGTTTTCGGCGTTGCCAATTAATGCGTTTGTTTTTAATGCTAGGTTTTGTGACATTTCATTCAATGGAAGGACAATTTTTGGGGTTGTTGTTTTCATCCTTTGTGTTTCGGATCTGAAACGTTTATTTCAACGTTTATTTCAACTTCAACGTTTATTTCGTTCACATGGATTTGCCGCATCAGAATAATTTGCATCCGCGACATTGGTTTCTCAGGATGAAACCGACATGCGGACTGTTGGTAGCGTTTCAACAAATACAGGATTGTAAACCAGTTGGATGTGGCCAAAACCACCCCACATACACAAATGTGATTGACATTTTGGGTTTTGAAAACATGCAGTGAACAGTGCAATCAAAGGTTGCCAAAAATTATTGCATACACGATATGACAGTTGAAACAATTAAAACATACGTCACACAATCGAATTTGTTTGCTTGGCTGCTTGGTGTGAAGTGCTGCTTGTTGCCTCAATGCAGCGCGGCAGAAACTTAGCAAAATCGCTGATTGCAGGCGTTGGTGCATGCGAAATTTCGAAGTCGCATTAAAAAATCCAAGCAAAATGCGATCGTAACACATCACTGCAATTGTGCAGGCATCGCTGCCCTGCTTTTTGTTGGCAGAGCCTTCACACCCCCAACTCTCGTCAAAGGAGAGAGGCTGGGAATCATTTGACTACCGAGTTTGACACCGAAAAAATTGACATGTCAAACGATGTGTGTTTTCGCTGTTTGTTTGCCACTGGTGGGCGCAGCCAGGACCGACGGGAAAGAAAACACCAAAGTTATATCTGATCTTGCTGCATGGTCTGATTCTAGTTGGCATGTTGGCACAAAAATCCGTACAACTGACATTATTTTGACCTGCAATTTTGAAAAAATCAACCATTCATTCTTGGCATTGAATTGAATGTATTGAGTGGGAACTGCATGCACCACACAACAAACAAAGTGCAACAACACTTGATTTACGTTTGCCACATGACACTATGACACCCTGAGGAAACCACACCAGACTCACGCCGCCTCCGATCAGGGATTGAAAGTATCCTGCGCGATCAAGAGGATGCGGTTGCATTCTTTGCTGTTGTCACATTAGCGACCTGCAGATTTTTGAATACCTACACACATTCATTAAAAAAAATGCACAGGCCTTGCGTGACGAAACTCCAGTGGCCACAGGCGGCACCCTTTTTTCAGTTGGATGCTCGGACGAACACGGTCTCAAATTTGAGGTCCAAACCGGTCCAAACCCTTGACATTTCTTGATCAAATGGCTGCAACTGACTGGGTACATTTGCACTTTTGTACCAAGGTTTTTTCTGCCGCAACGTTGGCATTCCTTGGTCAAACTTCCTGGGTTGCAGCTGCAGCGCTGCCTGTGATTGCAAGTGCCCGATCCTTATTGCAGGGAGGGGCAATGCGGCAATGCCGCTGATGCATACACATTTGTTGCTAGACTTGTAAAGTATGAAATTCTCCATTGCATACTCTTGATATCTTTTCATGGTTTCCCGATCGCATGATTTTTCCGTATTTTTACTTAGCTCTTGAACCTGGACTTCATGTTTCTGATTTCTTCAAATTATCCCACAGCAATTCGATGCCATGGAATTGTTAAATTTGCACAGAGGCCATTTTTTCTTACACGTCAGTGGCGGAAAGCTCTGGAACGAAGCTGTCCTGCATCAAACTTTCAGGTTTTTGCACTTTTCAATCCATCTTGTGCAGTTTTTGTGCTTGGAAGACCAATTCTAGATTTTGGCTGTTGGCATTAATGCGAGGAAATCTCTTGGACTCGGTCGTTGTAGTTTCTCACAGGCCTGAACCAAAGCTTTGGTGTGAATTTGCAGAATTGTAATTTGTATTAATTTGTTGCATTACTTCCAATAGAACAGTTTTTTTGACAAACAATTTGACTCGTTTCTGCGTCGCATCGGGCTTTGACTATCTTTGACTGTTTAAGGCACTTGCACAATCAGCAGAGCAGGACAGACCTCAGTACGGTTGAGACTGAGAATCTCTGAGAATCTGAGTCGACGAAAGTGGACGAAACTGGACGAAAGTTCATGAGCGTTGCGGATGTCGCAGATGTGCCCACAATAAAATGCAGTATTGGCAGTATTGGCAGTATTGGCAGTATTGGGAATCTGGGTCTTTGCATTGTACGGGCTGCTCTATACAGAAAATCCCTTTCGTAGCTCCTGTGGTCTCGTATTCATCTCAACCGAACCATAGGATTTCAAAGCAAAAGTAGGAAAGCAAAGTAGTGTGGCATTGTTCGTCTCATGCAAAGATGTCCCAATCTCACAACAAACCAAGAATGCCTGCTCTGACCAACTACATTCCTCTACAGTAAATTCATACGCACCCATTTGCAGAATGCAGCAATGCATAGCATTGCATATTTGCAGAGTAGAGACCATTCCTGCGTCAAGGTCATCAGCCAATCCTCACAAACAATTGGCTGTTGACCTGTTTTGGGAGTGTCACATGTTGTCATGTAGGGACCTCATGTCTCATTGTGGTAAACATTGCGTTATCATTTCAGAGGCAACGCTTGGTTTCTTCATTGGTTCGCATTTCCTGCGCTTGCGCTGCCCGTATCGCAGCACTTCCACAGGAGCGCAAGTTGGCAGTTGCGGAGGCTCCAAAGGCGCTACTACCTTTTGGAGCAGGATGCACTGCCATTTTTGCAGCTGCATGTGCTACTTTCTCAGAGAGCGACGACCTAGAAAAACGACAATTGGATTTACATATGTTGGACTACACCGCAAGAGAAACATGTGAGAACAGACGCACTAGAAAGGCAAACACTCCAATCCAGGCCCCCTGTTACCTGCAGAAACCAATATGTCATATGAGTCATATGTGAATGTTTTGACTGATTTGTTTCTCTCCTCCCACTGAGGTCACTGTCAAGCTATTCGAAGAAGATCCAACCAACGCAGGTTGGCTTGATCCCATGCACAACTGATTTTTGCCTTTCTTGTCCTCACTCTGTTGCCTCTCAGCAATCTCTGCTTCCACTTGCCCCATGACTCTCATGGAGCTAACAAAACGAGGCTTTCTTGCTGCACTTGGCCGATTTTTTTGTGGCTGTGCAGCAACTTGGCAAAAAGTGTGAGGGAATAGTGAGCTGCGGTGAGCTTGGGCACTTGGAACTTGAAGCTGTTGCGAATTTGACAGGTCTGTCAGTCTGCCAAGTGTCAAGCTCGTGACTTTCGTGGTAAGGTCCTCGGAGCGGTGGCAACCAATGACCAAGCTTTGTCTCAGGCTCAGACATCCCCTATTTGGTGAAACCCTGTAAGCTGAGTTTGGTAAACGAGCCTGTGGTCATAGTGCAGACATGTGCAGACATGTGCAAGAACCGTGTGAAAATCGCTGAGGTTAGTGAATTCCAAGCTTGCTCCGCAATTGCGAAACCCCTTCGAGGCGAGCTGAGAATTCCTCTGGGGGTAGGTAATAAATCTTTCGAATCGGTTGCAGACTGCAGCTGGACTTGCAAATAGCTAGCAGCTTGTGTTTATTGGGAGTGTCGGGAGTGTTTGAGACTTCCTAGTGAACTGTTTGAAACGATACATATGCATGTGTCCAGAATTTCGGCCACAGCCACATACACACACTTGCTCAGAACAGTCTTTGCGAATTCTGATGTGGAATGCATCTGACGTGCAAAAACACCAACAATAAAGTGACACGAAGAATGAACATTTATACAATTATATATAGACGTATAATCACAGTAGACATTGATCGTATAAAACAACAGCGATAAGATATATGTCCCCCCAGCTGCGACTTATATGCGCCCAGGGGCGGGACTATACATACATATATATATATATTAAGCAGGTACGTTTACACAGGAACATTGCAGCGTCTTCATTGGCCGCTGACTGCAATGTTCCCCAGCGGCCCCCTGCAGTAATATGAAGTTTTACATCTATACAGATGGCACACACACACACACACGCCCCGCAACAGCAGGGCAAATGAAATGACAATGAAAGTGAAATGAAAATGAAAATGACATGAAAGTTAACTTAACGAGGACGCGAAGAGGGGAACGCAAAAGAGGAGGGAAAGAGCAAACACCAATAGAAACACACCTGGCCTAGAACGGGCAAACCCTGAAAAGGCAAGGAAAGCAAAAACGGAGGCCGACGGAAACGGAACCAGACCAGCGGAGGAGGGGGAGGACGGAAGCGCTTGAGCCAACCTACCATGGCGAAACCTAAGCCTACCGCGGCACGCGCAGGACCCAACCTACCTGGAGAGGGGAAGAACACGTGAGGTAGGGGGCCCATGGGGAAAAAAGTTAGTGACATGATGCTTCCACACTGCAGTGATAAGGCTCAAAGGCCCTCCGCTGTCAAGTCACAACCCTGTAAACGGCTTAAGTGTTCAACCCTCGAATGACGTGCACATTTGAACCGTACCAGCGACCATAAAAAGAAAGAAGGACCACACCTAAAGTCATGGCCTGATACCATAATGTTCGAAGGAAGTTTAGAAGTCAAACTTCCGACAATATGGACAGATGAAAAGCAGAGAAGGGAAGAGGCAGAGAGAAGAGAAAGATTAGAAGAAAGAAGAGTAGAAGAGAAAGAGAAAGAAGAAAGAAGATGCAGATGCGAGAAAAGGTAGGAAAGTCGCGAAACACTGTGTTTTTCCAATGATTTGGGGCTCCGGAGGGTCGAAAAGTAGGCTCGCTAAAGCGGCGGGTGCGGAGCCAGCTGGCCAGATGAGAGATGAAAAATTGCACGCCGTTGTGGCGCGAAGCACATTTGCAAGTCAAAATGTACAAAACACCTGGGTCTCGGAGAACTTTTGGAAGTTGAGATGTCGAAAAAGTGCACGCCGTTGTGGCGCGAAGCACATTTCGAAGTCAACATGTTAAAAACACCAGGGGTTCGGACCACTTTTGGAAGTTGAGATGTCGAAAAAGTGCACGCCGTTGTGGCGCGAAGCACATTTCGAAGTCAAAATGTACAAAGCACACCATGTACGGACCACTTTTGGAGGTTCAGATGTCGTTTCGTGTGGCAGGCGCAAGGGACTGTGGACCTAGTCAAAAGTGAGCAAAACGTGAGGGTTTTGTAGCATTTCCAACTACAACCCACTACACCACACTACACTCCAATACATTACACTACACTACAACTACAACTACACCTTCACTACATTCTACTAGACTACACTCCACTACACTACACTACACTACACTCAATTACACTCAATTACACTCAATTACACCACACTACACTACACTCCACTACTCTACACTGCATTACACTACACTACATTACACTGCACTACATTACACTACTCTACACTACCTTCCACTACACTACATTACACTACACTACACTCCACTACACTATATACACTTCACTACATTACACTACAACTACAAGTGCGCAACTACACTCCACTACACTCCACTACACTAAATTACACTACACTACACTACACTACATTACCCTACACTACACTCCACGACACTGCACTACATTACACTACACTCCACTACACTACCTTCCACTACACTTCACTACATTACACTACACTACACTCCACTACACTCCACTACACTCCACTACACTCCACTACACTCCACTACACTCCACTACACTCCACCACACTCCACTACACTCCACTACACTCCACTACACTCCACTACACTCCACTACATTCCACTACACTCCACTACACTAAATTACACTACACTACACTACACTACACTACATTAGACTACAGTACACTCCACTACACTACACTACATTACACTACACTACACTACACTACCTTCCACTACACTTCACTACATTACACTACACTACCTTACACTGAATGACACTACACTACACTACCTTCCACTACACTTCACTACATTACACTACACTACCTTACACTGAATGACACTGCACCACAGATAGACAGGTAGACAGATAGATGGATAGATGGATAGATAGATAGATAGGCAGATAGAAAGATGGATAGATGGATACATGGGTACATAGATAGATAGATAGATAGATAGAATAGAATAGAATAGAATAGATAGATAGATAGATAGATCGATAGATCAATAGATCGATCGATAGATAGATAGATAGATAGAAAGATAGGTAGATAGATCGATAGATCGATAGATACATAGGTAGATAGGTAGGTAGGTAGGTAGGTAGATAGTCAGAGAAAGAGAGAGAAAGAGAGGAGACATCAATCACCTTTCGATCCATCAGTGGCTTCGCTCTGCCATCCGTGATTCACAACAACCAACCTTTCCTATAGGTTTCCTATTTTTGAAACTTCCACCACCGCCTTGTGCGGTACTACTGGTTAAAAAAACACAAAAAAGGTGAGGCCCAGAACAGCGGCAGGTTGTTTCAACACACGACCGACAGGTGAAAAGTTGAAAAAAGGCCAGCTGTTTCACATTACTTAAACGAACTACTAGGTTGAAAAAGGTGAAGCCAAGAACTGCGGCACGCCGTTCAACACATCGACCGACAAGGTGAAACCGAAAAAAGGCAAACTGTTTCACTTTACTTAGACGAATTACTAGGTTGAAAAATGTAAATTCAGAGATCAGGTCGAGGATTCACTCTCCTACCTAGAAAGGTATTCCCCGAAGGGTTCATGCCACCGTGACGAATCCAGCATGAATCACACACTTGCTCAGAACAGTCTTTGCGAATTCTGATGTGGAATGCATCTGACGTGCAAAAACACCAACAATAAAGTGACACGAAGAACGAAAATTTATACAATTATATATAGACGTATAATCACAGTAGACATTGACCGTATAAAACAACAGCGATAAGATATATGTCCCCCCCAGCTGCGACTTATATGCGCCCAGGGGCGGGACTATACATATATATTAAGCAGGTACGTTTACACAGGAACATTGCAGCGTCTTCATTGGCCGCTGACTGCAATGTTCCCCAGCGGCCCCTGCAGTAATATGAAATTTTACATCTATACAGATGGTGCACACAAACACACTGCAAACTATTCCCATGATGTTCGTTGTTCCATACCTTTTTTTAGAACATAACCGAATTGACTTGCATGCGCAGCCAAACGGATTTAATGGCATTGCTTTTGGTGGAGACTTTTGCGGCTTGAGCACTCCGTTGATCCTGATTTCTCCTTTTGTCTCCTGTGGCACTCCTCAACATCCTCACGCCAATGTCATGGTCGCGCATGTCTCCCAAAAGCACGTAGTACTCCACACTGTCAACACTCCTCGCAAACATTTTGCAGAACTACCTACACAAGATTCAGTCGGCACAATACATTATCGACCACTTTTCTGTGGTGTACGTACCCAGGGCATTCGCTGAAAATGTGGCTCTGTGTGTGTGTGTGCGCCAGCAAAGCCAAACATGCGGAACTACATTTTTCCTTTATATTGTCGACTTATTGTTCTTGTGCTGACTAGACATCATATCAAAATGGCCTTTTTGAGATGTCCTTGGCATCAGCAAAAACATTTTGGAAATCCTTGGGATGCTCTCTAGGATGACGACGATACAGACGAGATCCGAGAAATGGAGGACCGTGAGATTGAGGCTGGTCACATGCTTGCACCTGGACACCTTTCACGGCATAGTGGGCATAGTGGGCATAGTGGGCATAGTCAGCATAGTCAGCATAGCATGCAGAAGCAGTGTTCAAGAGAATGCTGAATCACGTTGAAGTGTCACAGGTGAAGCTACAAGACCGAGTCCTTCTGGCAGTCTTGGGTGTTGTCGTTTCTTTGCTTCCTCTTGCACTGTCGCTTGACTTGAAATTGGCATTCACAGAAACAAAGTAGGCCTTGCACAAACGCAGCACATTCCTGTTTCACCACAGCAGTGAGGATACCTGATGCTAGGAATCGCTAATCACACCCTTCGAATTCTTTAGAATCTTTCGTGCGAGGTTTGAGAAGGCATACACAATTGAAGGACTTACAGAAGCAGCTGATGAGATTGCGGTGGTTGTGTCTGCAAGTGCTGCCGCAGTCGCGGCTTTGAGTCGAGGGCCAAGAGACCACTGACAGATTTAGGACAATTTGTCCAATCAATAAACTAATTTTGCCGCTGGAATCATCTTGTGTCATCCTTGTGTCTACTTTGAGAGTTGTTTGCCACGCCTTATCGAGGCTTTCTAGTTGCAGAAAAGAACTTTGCTGATGCCGAAAGACGAGTTGCGGCACAATCCCGGCAGTCAGCCCTGTCGGAGCTCTTTTTCGCTCAGGTGAGCACCTGCCAGACATGCGATTTCTAAGCTGCTGAAACATGTCTTGAACATGTTGACATTCGTTGCAGGCACAGGCGGATTCTGCCATTTTGGGAGCCAATACTGCTATGAGTGCCAGCAGCTTGGGGATTGCCTCCGTTGCGGCAGAATTCTCCAAGACGCTTGCTTCTGTCTCAGTGTGGCCTGCTGCCCGGAGCTTACTTTCGTTGCATTTCAATCTCATCTCATGCTTCTTATGTTATTTGTGTGACGGACCATGCATTTTTGCTCGTTTCTGTCAAGAATTGATACAGTTGACCTGACATTGGCCTGATATTGACCTGATAGAGACACAGGTGGCTAGCACTTTCTGGTCCACGGTGAGTGCAGTGACTTCCCGCTCTGAAGCAGATGCCGCGTACCTTGAGCGTGAAGCAGCCAAACGTGCCATGGCAGGTGTCGAGGCAAATGTGGACACAATCGATGCTGCGGTCAGCGAGTTCAAGGATCTTCAACGTGATTTTACACAAGACGACGTCACGGACGATATTCGTAGTCAGTTGAAGGCCTTGGACCTAGGAGAAAGACGGGAGTTCCGTGGATTGTCCAGAGATCAACGACGCAAAGTCCATCTGCTTGCCGGAGAACTTGGCATGCTTTCGCAGTCCTTCACCTCTGCAGGTTCTGCTGGCAAAAAAGCAAGAAATGTCGTGGTCACGAATCCACCTTCGCAGGCTCTGCTTCAGCCGAGGTCAACAGTTGAATCAGACATACAAAAGTTTACTGACGATTTGGGTGAGGAGGCCAACGCAATCCAGAAAACTCTGCAGGAAAGTGGCTGGCAAGTTGCCTCGGTGGCAGGCGTCTTTGTTTTGGGCAGTCTGGCTTCCCCTTTGCTTCTGAGCAACGTGGGAGGAGCTGAGCTTTTGCTGCCACTTGCAACAGGAACTGTGGGACTAGCCACAGCGTGGCAGGAAACTGCAGGCAAATCTGCAGTCGCTGTGGCGAAAAGGCAGACAGCATTTCTTCTCACGAAAGAAGCTCGGGCAGAGACGTTCTTGGGCCGAGGTCACCTTGCATACGCTGCGTTCCCGACCGATGTTGCTATTGCAACGCTTGCCACAATTGCCACAGGGCTCTCTAGTGTGCTCAACCTGACACAACTCTGGAAGTCTCTTGTCATGCTGATGGTCATCCCAGCCTACACGGCCTGTTCGGTCGCGATGCAACGTCGACGAAAAGTCGAAAGATTTGTTGCGGCGTCTATGAGATGTGTTGATGCTGCGCCCATTCCTCCACCCAAGAGGTTCTGGAAGCAGTGCCCTGTTTGAATCAGTGAAAAGAGTTAAAAGGCAGAATGCAAGAAATGGAAGACCGTCAAATCTCCAAAACTCAGTGCTGAACACCATATTAGCTGACAGAGAAGAACGACATGCAGCAAGACTCCAAAAGCAATAAAAGCAGCTAGCACCGAGGATTTGGATTCACTCTCATGAAAAGTTTGTTTCCATTGGTCCATTTATATAGTTTCAATATGTTTCAATGCCGTCCTTGACCCCGCACCAAAGGAGATGGTGGATGATTCCAGCTGCACTTGCTGTGAGTTTTCCTTGCGACCTCTACGGGCGAGCAACCATTGCCTGTGCCGCCTTTGCTGCCGAAATTGCCATTGCTATGGCAGAAAGTTCTATGCAGTTGGCAAACGCCACAGGTGCGGAAATTTGGATCGGGAGCCACATGTTTTTCGAAAAAATGTTTTTTCATTTTCCATGATTCAAGTTTTCAAGTGGTTTGGATTTTGCCGAGTGAGTAAAGCCTAGCATAGGCCTGCGAACGGTCATCGTGTAGTAGCAGCACTCGCATCTTACCTGGACCAAGTAGCATAGCTGGAATCATTCACTAGCCTGCGTCTAGGGAGTCAACAAACATTGGTTCCCACCTCTCCACTTTCAGAGATGTTGCTGATTTTGCCGATGTTGCCAGTTGTTGCGATGGAAACATTCTTTAAGTCTGGTGGACCAAACCCTCCACTCCCTTTTCCTTTTCCCGCCGACCAAGAAGTCACGGTGAAACAAGCTGCGATGGTTCGACAGGTTATTGGCAACCTCGGAAGTCAGCATACTGTCGTAGGATGTCGTAGGGAAGTATGCACCACCTTGACTGATCGAGCTCCCCTCGCATGGAACAACTCATTCACGGCCCGAAATTGTTGTATGAGAACATATGGGAACTTTGAGCAATACACATCGCTGCCAGCTGCGAAAGACACTCCCAAACGGAATGGTAAATGTTGTGGCATAAGGCAATCCCAGTGTAACTGCAAAACACTTGACAAGGACCAAAAAACTTGCTGAAAGTCGGATAAAATCAAAACCTTCTTGCTCGATTGAGTCATCAGCCATCAGCTGGTATCCATCTACGTTGGACATATTTGAATCCCCATTCTCCAGTGAAAGCTTGAAAGTGTGCGAAAAGTTGATTGATAGCTACTTAACCAAATTGACTGAAGCCCATCTCCACTCTGCAGATTTCGTAGCCATCTCAAAATTGACTGAAAACACTGTCCCATCGTATGATTGGCAGGTTCTTCCACATGAGCAGGCAAAATGCCTAAACTTGGTTCTTCGTCCGGAGTTTGCTGGTGTCTCCTTGCTTGTCCTTCCCATTTTCCTACTTGCTGATCCCTATGCTCGTCTTTGTCCTTCCCTTCTACTGCCGGTGGGACACTCTTTTGAGCTTGAAGATAGAACTTGTGAAGCAACATCCGTGATTCCTACTCCAATAGTCATTCAATAGTCCTATTCCGACTCTATTTTGCATAGAGGTTACTCTGCTGGTGGATTGTGCCGTGTGACTGGCTAGGCAGTGTCGCCAGAGCAGGTTGCGTTGTCGCCACGGCTGATGCTTGGTCACAGCTGGCCCAGTTTTCCACCAGAGCCTTGCCATACCGAACTGCTCTTGCCGTCGTGCCCTTCTCAGTGATACAACTGCTTTATCTGCTTCGAGTGCTTCATGGGCCTTTCCACAATCCATCGTTGCAAGTGCTGCGACATCAGGTGAGCACTTTGATTGCCACCGCGTTGGTAGAGTATTCCCTGCCAGTGCTTCTTGGCAAATCTGAGCGGCCGTGTTTCCTTGTGTGAATGTGGTAGTTGCTCCATTAGTCATATGTAGATGTGCACTGCAATTCAGGGAGAGGTGTTCTCCTCCTTTTCCCTGCAGGTGTGCTTTGTTCCCAGCCTTGGGAGCTGCTGTGTTTGCCCGCTCCTTCGATGTGAACAGGCAACGTTCAGAAAAAAACTGCTCTTGTCTGTTCTTGTCGCCACTATGTACTACTTGTCATATGTTGTCATATGTTGTTATTGTCTAGTCATGCTGTATCTTGCTCCAAATCGTCCGATAATCCCAGGCAGTCCCAGAAAGCTTCTCAACAGCTGGCGGAGGAGACTTGGTATCAGGGTTCTTCGTGTTGTACATAGGTTCATGACTCATGATGGTGTGTGGGTACATGCACATATTCTAGGTATCTGTGGAAACTAAAAAAAATACAATGGAATTTAGCTGAAAAGAAGTAGGCTTGCCCAAATGATTTTCGAAGCCTCGAGTTTGGTACTGTTTCTTTCCTTCTTTTGCTGTCGGATCCAAGGACGTAAGGGACATGCAAGTCCTCCGAAAGGTGGGAAGTGCACTCACTAAATCCCTGTCATTTGGTGGCTGTCCATGGCTGTCCGATGTGCATTTTCCAAGCACCAACGTTTGGCTTCAACAGGTGGAACCCTGGCCCTTGCTCCGGCAAGTTTCAGACTTTTCAGTGGAACCGAGCCGTCTGCCTCTGCAACTCAGCTGGTTTTTGCTAGTAAAGGATAGTATATAAAGTATATAAAGGTGCTTTTTGCTTTGAAGGCAGATAAAGAAAGCAACCGAACAAGAGTAGAACAGCGTTGCAGCAACGCAGAAGTGCTGCCTGCGAGGCTGCAAACGACTGGTAGGAAGGGCACTGGAATCGGAGTTCTTTCCCCTCGGAATTTGTTCCAGAGAGCAAAACGAGGATTGGGGAGGCACCGGTCCCAGGGCTTCTCGTTGGAATCACATTAGGTAGCCATAGGTAGCCTAAAATATCCTAAAATAATCAGAAAATGTAGAAAACTTCAAAGTCAGACTGCAAAATGCTGTGGATAATCCTGGTGACGCTTGTGGCAGGCTAACACTTTGGGAAGATACTAGCCCGGCTGAAGCCTACAAACCAGCAGCCTCGGATCAGGCGGTTTTGAGCCAAGCGGGCCAAGCGGACTGAAGTTTGCGAAGATTTTGTGAAACTCACTGTGAAACGATATGAAATTTGTGAAACGATAAGTCTTGCCAGGCAGTGAAGAGTGTTCAATCAGATCTCAATGAGATCCGGTCTTTAACAAGGCAGACAGCAGTGGATGCTTGCGGATCCTCAAAGCGATGTAAATCTGCACCGTGGAGACAGTACATGCTGTATCTCCAATCATTCGCCATTTGCCAATGTCCCATAAAAAAATGGTAAAACAGAGATGCTAGGACTAGACAGGTTAAAGGTCAGGTGGGATGTTGCTTTGTTTTTTCTTCACGTTATAGTTTAAAATGTTTGACTGTTTCTTTTTGATTATCTTGCTAAATGTGTTGTTGAGGTTGTTGAATGAAGGGGATAATTGTTGAGGTGGTCAGAGTTTCTATGTGTAGGTTCAGGTTCAAATTCTACCAAGCTGTTGTTCAAAGATGTCGAATTATTTGCTTCAAATTCATGTATTGATTGAGGTTAGGCGCTGTGGTTCCTGTTTGGTTTTGCATATCAAGCATCCTTCAATACCAAAGCCAGTTTGGCACAAATTGACTGAACCGATGTATTGTCCCTTTTCTTCGACATTCCGCAGATGCATCTTTGTGAGGCAGGTTGAGCTTGCGCCAGGCCGGTTCGTCCTTCCAAGCGGTCATGCACGAACACAGCCCGCAAGGGCTTTTCCGGCCCAGACCGTTAAAACTGGTTGGACGTTGTTGAGCACAGGGAGCATCGTAGTGCTGGTTCTCCAAGCTCTCATTCAAAGGTTCCTTCCTGTCTTCTTCATGAACAGGGCAGTGAGGAAGGCTGGGCAAAGGCTGAAAAGGAAAGAGCCCGCCCCTGCACGGCCTCTCGAGGAGGAATACATCAAGGACTTCATCAATTCACCTCAAGGTGAAGCTTTGAGCACCCCTTCCTTCTTGGTGGTCAGTGGTTCCCAAGGCATTGGGAAATCAACCATGCTGAACAATCTCCTGAGTGAGCATGTGAAGAATGGCAAAAGGGTGCTTCCTCTTGATATTTCTGTTCGTCCTGGTGAGGACTTGAAGCTGAACGAGGCGCCACCCCAAGCGTTACAAGCCATAGATTTGCCCCGATATTACCCGTCAAATGTCAAATTTTTGCTGGAACGGGTGAATGAGACGTCCAAGCACCGAACAGGCAGTGCCTTCGTGGTATACCTGCAACTCACAACCAAAAGCCGCGGAGACAAATTTAGCAGGGATGCCTGTGATGACATTGCTTCCACCCTCGGTGCCTTCGCTCGCAACATCACCTACGACAATGCCGCGTGCAAGTTCATTTTGGAGGTCAGCGTGTCTGCCGTGGCCGACATCATCACCGAAAGGTTTAACATGTCAGATTTGGTGGTGGTGCGACCGCTGCCTTTCGAAGACTTCACATCTGTGGTCAAGGAGGTGGCAAAGCAGGGAAACGACTTCCGGACGCTGAACAAGGTTCTTGCCGAAGATGACATGGACGAGGTGTTGAAGCACTACTACATCCGCACAGGGGGCAACTTCCGCGACTTGGACTTGATACTGCGAAACGTCTCCAGAGCAGGTCAGAAAGGTGCGGATGCGGTCATCAAGCGGGTTGAGCAGTGGTACAAGCGGAGGGTGGAACCAATTCAAAGGAAATTGGATGACCAGGAAGTGAAGGACTATCTCCTCAAGGTGGCAAGGGCAGGACCCATGGGGTATCTCCCAGAGAGCGACGAAGACACCAAAATGGCGTTGAAGCTTCTTCGCGAGGAGCCAGCAGACTGCGTCCTGAGGAGTACAACCAGTGAAACTGTGGCTTTGAAGCACTGGCATTTCGTCGCCAAGCTCTTTCAAGAGGATGAGCAGAAGGTGAGGGATGCAGGATACATGTGAGCTTCGCCGGTGAAAAAAACTGTGACGCTTGAGATGTTTTGTGGGTGAGTCATCCAAGAGTAATTTTCACATATTGCCTGCACAACCGCAGATACCCAACCCTAGTATCAATGATACCCAGATACATCCAGATACCAGTATCTAAGTATCAAAGATACCCAGAGCCTAGTATCAATGATACCCAGATACCAGTATCCAAGTATCAATGATACCCAGAACCGAGTATCAATGATACCCCAAACTGAATATCAATGATACCCTGATACCAGTATCCAAGTATCAATGATACCCAGAACCGAGTATCAATGATACCCAGAACCGAGTATCAATGATACCCCAAACCGAGTATCAATGATACCCAGATACCAATATCCAAGTATCAACGATACCCAGAACCAAGTATCAATGATACCCTGATACCATCTGATACCAGTATCCAAGTATCAACGATACCCAGAACCGAGTATCAATGATACCGTGATACCAGTATCCAAGTATCAACGATACCCAGAACCGAGTATCAATCATTCACCGAACAAGCAACAACAGACAAATCGTTTCACCCTGAACTTTTTTAGCCAAACCATCAAACACGGACAAATCGTTTCACCCTCAACTTTTGACAAAAACATGAAACACGGACAAATCGTTTCACCCTCAACTTCTATAGCCAATCACCATCAAACACGGACAAATCGTTTCACCCTGAACTTTTGAAGACAAAAAATCCTTACTTCCAACAAGTGTCCTAAAACCATCGTGTTTTAGCGTCCAAAACAAAAACATGAAACACGGACAAATCGTTTCACCCTCAACTTCTATAGCCAAACCATCAAACACGGACAAATCGTTTCACCCTGAACTTTTGAAGACAAAAAATCCTTACTTCAACAAGTGTCCTAAAACCATTGTTTTAGCGTCCAAAAAACATCAATTTAGGACACTTGTTAAAAACACAATTTGTAGAGCAACAGAACCAAAAACACTTAAAGAAATGACGCCTTATGTAATTAAGAATTGAATATGCCCTGCTATATGTTTATAGATAGACTTAAGCAAGAAATGGACGAAGACCTTTTTGACCAAATGGCGGAAACACTACACCAATCCAGCAACCCTCAAAATCCACCAACCACAACATCCACAAGATGGAAACCCGACGGAACTTACGACAAGAAACCATTAGACCCCAATTATTTTTTAAAGTATTATCAAAAGAAATTATCAACCCCTTTCACCTGTCCAGACCGCGGACGAACCATCACAAGCAAATCCAATCTATCAAAACACCGTCAAACCAACAGATGTATGAACAGCAGACGACACTAAAAATAAAACCTTCTCAGTAACAACGCTTTGTCAATCAGAATGTTTTATCTATTCATTGTCCATTCCCGTTTGTTTGACACAGTTGTTCTTTTGATGCCATAGAGCATAGTATTGAAAAATTTAACGCTTACAAAACGGACATTCAACCTTCAAAAGGCGTTGTTCTATTATTTTCTCTTCATTCAAACGGTGTTTTTCTATTATTTCCTCTTTATGTTTGTGATAGTATGCTCTGGCACGTGCCTTGCCTCTTTCATAGTATTCTCTCGCTTGCTCTGGATTGTCCAGTTTCCACTCCTGTTGCGTCCTACCTGCAATCTGTCTATTGACACATTCTGTTGCTTTGATATGTCCCCCTTCTCTTTTGAACAATTCTTCCTTACTTTGACACGGGTAGTTCTCAATCAGTTCAATCGTACAATTCTCAATACCGAATTCATTGAATATATCTATTGCGGTTGTCTTCTTTTTCATCCTCCCTTTGATGTATTCCTTATATTGTTTTCTATGTCTTTCCATTCTTTTACTCAAACTTTCACAGGTGCTCCCAATATAGCATTTATTATATCCAACATCTGTTATTCTTGTAAATCTTTCCGTTTTCATACCTATTCATACCTATATTTACCATAAGTTGCCATTTCTTTAAAACAATTTATCAAGTCAAACGACGGTGTCCTCACGTTGGACTTCAACCCAGAACCCTATGACCTAAAAACTGAACGAGAGCCCAAAAACTACTTAAAGAAAGGATGTTTTATATATTAAGGAGAATATGGGAGAGGGATGGAGAGGGTGTAAGGTTAAAAAATGAAAATTTATCTCAAAACTTAATCCACCAACAATCCAATCATCCGCAACACTCAACAAACAATTCACACTGAAAAACTACTTAAAGAAACAGAATATTATAATAATAGAATGGGCTAGCGCCCTGGTGCCGCCGACCCCCCCTATTTGGGGGGTCCTGTAGAGAGATAGAGAGATAGAGAGATATGTAGTTCTCTCCGGGTTTTTGGCAATGAAATCAACCATTGATGGTTGACGATCGGCTCGTTCACCGGGTTGCCGCCACAGCTTCGGGTGCCTTGATCCTGGACCCGGTGCTGCGGCGCATCCTCGACGTCCAAGACGAGACGCCCGAGCTGGCGCTGTGGGTCACCTACGGTTTTAACGGTTGGACAGAGTTTTAACGGTTTTAAGCTGCGCGATTGGGCGTCCCATACGCTGTGGCAGAGTTTCAACAGTTTTAAGGGTTTTAGCGGTTTTAGGGGTTTAAGGGCTGGCAAACGGCAGGCTTGGACGCCCATAAGAAGCCTAAGAAGCCATTGTTGTGGCCTTGGGGTGCCTGTTGGCGTGGACCGCGCTGAGAAGAAACGATGGATCTGGCCTTGGGTAGCTTATGCCTGCACGGTTGGGCATCCCAGACGCTTGGACAGAGTTTTAACGGTTTTAAGCTGCGCGGTTGGGCGTCCCATACGCTGTGGCAGAGTTTTAACGGTTTTAAGGGTTTTAGGGGTTTTAGGGGTTTAAAGGCTGGCAAACGGCAGGCTTGGACGCCCATAAGAAGCCTAAGAAGCCATTGTTGTGGCCTTGGGGTGCCTGTTGGCATGGACCGCGCTGAGAAGAAACGATGGATCTGGCCTTGGGGTAGCTTATGCCTGCGCGGTTGGGCATCCCAGACGCTTGGACAGAGTTTTAACGGTTTTAAGCTGCGCGGTTGGGCGTCCCATACGCTGTGGCAGAGTTTCAACAGTTTTAAGGGTTTTAGCGGTTTTAGGCGTTTTAGGGGTTTTAGGGGTTTTAGGGGTTTTAGGGGTTTTAGGCGTTTAAGGGCTGGCAAACGGCAGGCTTGGACGCCCATAAGAAGCCTAAGAAGCCATTGTTGTGGCCTTGGGGTGCCT